GACCAAAAATACCACCCCCTTGTGCTGGAATGGTATGACTTGTGCAGGTATTCCTTGGTTTTTGTTTTTTTTTTTTTTCCTTTTTAACAAGGATCTGGCCCCCTTCCACCCAAAAAGCCAAAGGAAAGATACATATTTTATACTCAAAGGCATTCATACTTTCAGATACCATTAATTGAATTGTGTGTTTTTGTGTGTGTGTGTGTGTGTGTGTGTGTGTGTATAAAGTTAGTGGGTAAGAAGCATCAGTCTTACTAGCTCAGGTTTGTCAACACCTGTAATACCCGTACTTGAGCATAGTAACCTTGCCAGATTCAAAGTGTAGCCTCCAACATCAAGTTGTTTGTGCAGTAGCATTTCCTGTTGACCTGTGGAGTGTCATCAAAGAAATACCACCATGAAAACAAGAAAACAAACATTATATGTATATTTTAATGTCATCTTATTGATTCATGTTAGTAAATGTTAGTTTTCATAACTTATTAAATTTTTCACATTTGTGATCATTTTTAGCACTGTTAGTTAAAAGTTAAAGATATGTTTTATCTCCTAGCATATTAGATACATAGTAATCAATAAGTATTCAGTACAAATTGAAACAAAATGCTTTCCTGGTGGCTCAGGTGGTAAAGAATCTGCCTGCAATGTGGGAGATCCAGTTTCTATCCCTGAGTTGGGAAGATCCCCTGGAGAAGGGAATGGCTGCCCACTCCAGTATTCTTGCCTGGGGAATTCCTTGGACAGAGGTGCTATTTCAGTATTGTAGTAATTTAATTTTAGTATTTTAGTAATAGGCATGTGACAAGTAAGGATACATAGATCTACAAGACTCTACTTTTTCATATTTTAAAAAATTAATTAAACCTACTTGAAACACTATTTTGAGAGTGTAGATCAAAAGTGGAGTCTAACATCAAGTAGGTACATGGTATAGAGAACCTTGAGCTGTTCATTTTTAAGGAATTCAGTCTGGGGGCACAATGTATTACAGACTTACTGTAGTTAAGTAAACTTGGTTGATGCAATGAGTTTTGATTGGGAAAAGATTTATATCAATTCAAGAACAGAGCAGTAATTTTGGTAATAAATTCAGAGTTGTAGTATTACTGCATTATTAGAATCATTATGAAACATCTAGCAGTCATACATCTCCAAGCAGAACTGTAACCAGGAAAATGGTTAGAATCCCTTTCTTAGACAAGTTGGAAATAAGAAAGCTCACACTCTTTTCAGAAATATACTGTGTTGAGAAGTTTATATAAAAGTTTGTGTGTATGAGTAAGAGTTATGTATGTTAAGAAAAGCATATAACTTTACAGTTTACAAATGGCTTTTCATATAACTTCACCTAATTTAAACCTCATAATAGTTTTGTGAAACAGATGATTCTGTTCCCCTTTTTCTGATTTATAAGCAAACAAACCTAAAGCTGAGAGTAGTTACACAGTAAGTGGAATCAGGTTTTTTTTTTTTTTGAGACAGTGAATGTTCTTTTCAGATACTACGTTTGCCCTTTTTTGTGTGTGAGATTTGGTTATTTTATTTGCTTGTTCGTTTGGTTTGTGGAGTTTTTATTTATGTTTTTTGTTATTTGAAGGTGGGAGGCCATTAGGTACCCCAGTGGTTTGACACATACTGTCTTGAATATAGTGAATGTTGGTATTTTGTGCTAAGCACTTGCCTTCTCTGGTGGTAGTACTTAGAAGTGATGGGTGGCAAAAGGCTTTGTACCTCAGTAAATTGTTTTGTAAGTCTCTTCCTATTTACCTTGTAGCAGCAGAGTTGTTATTTATAATTTATTAGAATTGGTCAAAATATGATAAACCATCTTTTTATAAATTTTGCCTTCTTTATAATACTTTATATTACCTCCTATATTACTTTATAATACTATAAACTGCCCCCAAATGGTCATCACATGATGGCTGCATGCATTGTGTAAGCCCCAAAAGTATTTTTTAAAAGGGCTCAACATGTGCTTGCATTGTTTTTTGTAGGCTATGAATATATATGTATATAACCTGTTCCTTTAGGCAGAGATCAGTCTCTTAAAAATGCTATTCAGAAAGAGGCTTCTGTGAAAAAGATATTATATGAATCTTCTAATCCTTCACATATTTTTCTATAATGTCACTACCTTTTTTAACCCTTCAGTTTTATCTTGAAATAAAATGAGTAATTGGCCTTTAGAGTCCTAGCCAAATAAAATTCCGTGCCTTTGTGTGTCTCTAATAAGCAGACAACAATCTGATGAAGGAAGTAAAAGCTGTCAGCTCCTCATTAACTTGAGTTGCAGGCTTCTCATCCTGTGAGGCACCTTTGACATTTAGAGCCTCCAGGTTAAACCCTGGCTTTACTTACTCTGTTCCTGAACGTTTTGTTTCATCAGTATACATTTTTCTGATGTTTTATCTAGCAGTTCTGTTAATTTTTTGTTATATAAAAATAAGTACATATTTTCCATGGAAAATTTTGGAAATATTGATACTCTGAAAAGAAAGTAAATAACCCTCAGTGCTACCACTCAGATATAACTAATAGCAAATTATAAAAGTGCCACCTGATGCAAACTCTAGACAGATCAGAGTATTATTAATTTTTACAGGTCTTTGTCAGTTTGATTGACAAAAATGTGTCTTCTTAAATTTACATTTCCATGACTCTCTTGAAGATAGATTTTTTTTTTCATGTTGATCATTCTTATTTCTTCTTCTGTGAATTGCTTTTTCATAGCTTTTGAAAAATTAATTTGTAATTAATTTGTAAGCACTCTGTAACCGTACAAATTAGGTTAACCCTTTGTTAGTGTATATTGTGAATTCTTCATGTCTTTAAGTTCCTGTTTATTTCTAGAGCTTATGAGTTGAGTTGAGCTATGATGTTATATGTAACTACTAATAAAATAAAGTGTGGCTTTTCTGTCTTTGAAAGAAAATACCCTTCAAGGTGATTTTAATTTAGCGAAAATGATAGGGAATCATTTTTAGACATGTTTTCTGATAGCCTTAAAACTAAGTACTCTTTTCAGGAAGACCTCTAATACATAAACCAGGAATTTGAGTAGGGAGATTATTTTAACATTTAAAATTACAGTGAGTGTATAGTTTTAACATTTGCTTTAGTATGTAAACCTACATGACAACAAAAACCTTGGTCTAAAACCAATAACTTAATGATTCTGATATTTATGTAGTTCCAACGATTTTTATTTGGAAAACCTGGGTTTGTTCATCAATATCACCTTTTCCAAGTTATCTCCCCTAAACATACTACCTTTATGAAAGTTTTTGGTGGGCAATATCATTGTATAATAATATTGTTTCCTAGCCTCCACAAATGTAAGTTTGAAGGAATTTTACACTTTGCAAGTGTATTTTCTTAAAAAAAGCTTAGAGTATTTTGATATTACATAACATAGTATGTAAGCCAAGGGGAGAGATTGCCAGTGATGTTTTAAGCCTAGTAAGATTAAACAAATATAATGAAGATTAATATTCACACGAATACAGCCTGAAATTAATGACTTCACTATAACTCTGTTAAATCAGGTTTTAAAGAAGTTTTAAGAAAACTTAGGCTGACTGTGGGGCTTCCCTGGTGGCTCAGGTGGTAAAGAATCTGCCTACAATGCAGGAGACCCAGGTTTGATCCCTGGGTTGTGACGATCCCCTGAAGAAGGGCATGGCTGTCCACTCCAGTTTTCTTGCCTGGAGAACCCCATGGACAGAGGAGCCTGGCGGGCTACAGTCCGTAGAGTTCAAGAGTTGACACAACTGAGCGACTAACTCTTTCAAGTTAACTATGAATTTTATCCATAGATAAACAGTTTTTAGAAGGTTTAAAGATTATGAGTCTCATTGAATTAGCATAAGGAGTAGCAGTTACTCTAACTTCTTGATTGTCCTCTTCCTCAGTTTGTAAAAATGCTGAAAAGCTGCTCTAACTACAAGTTTTATATATACATTTATTCAATTAAGCTTTTACTTTGAGGAGAGCACCTGAAATCATGTCTAAGGCCACTTTCAAGAAAAAAGAAAAGAAAGAAAAGTTAGCTATGGAGTTAATTTGAGTTGCAGTAGTGATGAGCAGAGCACAAGGTTCACATTCACAAATCTAGACTTCTGACATTGTCCCCATGCGTAGTTACACATGTAGCCCCAGCGGTGCACCAGCAGGCTTGAAAAGAAGATGGTGTTGTAAAGGTGAAGAGTCTGTTCTGTTGTTGTAGACCCACCTCATCTGTTGTGCACGATAGTTTTATTTTTTAACATCTCTGTCATAACTTTGTGGAAAGCAGAGTTCCATTGTAATGTGGTTAAGGATTAATTTGTTATAGGTAAACCTTTATACCAGAATTTCTCCTATTTTGAGTTTCTTTATTTTTTTAAATACTGTGGAAGTCCATCCAAGTGAGAGTACTCTGGCCTTCTTTAACTTCCGAGAGATCCTGAGCTCTCTAGTTCACTCTGTGTGATAGTTAAAAATGTATGACCATGCTGTTGTGTGTCTCTTTCCAAGAACAGTGTGTCCTGGGTGGCTGTCCTCCTCCTCTTGTCTCCCGACCCATCTAGGACAGAAGTGGTCTTGTTCAGCTCTGTGTCCTCAGAAAGTAGTATTTTACATGGTGCTGAGCACGTAGTAAGTGCTTGGATGTTTTCTTGACCAGATTAAACACTTTTTTTTTTCATTTCTTACTTATTTGAAGTGTTTTGTAGAGGAGTGCTCAGAGAATACTCAGAAAGTTTTGGTACCAATTCAGTACAAATCTCATTTTGGAAAGAAATCTGTCTGGGGAAAGTTTTTGCCCTGTGTTTAGTTGGCTAATTTTTTGCCTAATGTAATTTATTTTATCTAACATGTATGTTTCCTTTATAACCAACATAATGATCTCAAACATTTTATGATCTCTACAGCTGCAGTGAGAAGAGGAGTTTGTAATTTTAAACAAAGGCGGAAGAAACTGTAGATAGCAGACAGAGAAAAAGTGGAGAAAGTAGAGGATGGAGTTGCAGACTCTACAGGAGGCTCTGAAAGTGGAAATTCAGGTTCACCAGGTATGTTTCATTCACGGCTTCTCCCACATCATGTTATTAGGTATTGGCTAAATTAATAAACTACCTGGCTGTCTCTGATTTTCAGCACAGTTTTTAATCATTTTTTCAGTCAGTTGTTCAAGAACCATGTTATTTGCCTTCTAACACTACTCAACAAACTCATTGGTAATATTTTTGAGAATTTTAAAAACCCTGACTTCTCTTCCAGGCAAAAGAACTAAAAATATTTTTTCCATATACTGAGTATGTTAAAAAAAAAAAAAAAAAAACCCCTTTCCCCTGTTTTTTGGTTAATCTGAGGGACTTTGTTCATGTGACTTTAACTTGCGTATTTTATTTATTTTTTATTTTTCAAAATTTATTTTATTGAAGTATAGTTGGTTTACAGTATATGTTAATTTCTGCTGTATAGCAAAACAATTCAGCTATACATGTATACATTCTTTTTCATGTTCTCTTCCACTATGGTTTATCACAGAATACTGAATATAATTCCCTGTGTTTGCTTGCATATTTAAAAAAATAAGACATGTTTCAGTTGACTATCATGTATACCAAAGTTATTCACATGTGATTTTTGGACATATTCCTCCTCTCAAGAAATTTTGGGATGGCATAGTTAACATCCAGCTTTTGGTTCATCCTCACAAGACATGAACAAGTCCAAATATGACTTTATTTGAAAAGTTCATGATATAATTGAACTGAATCACAAAGTTTAAATAGAGTTCTTAAATATTATTTAGTTTCATATTTTTAATTCAAGTATACCAATTTTATAAAAATTATAATTATGAAAAAATTGGATGTTTATTGTTTTAAAATATAATTTAAATTTTAAAATTACATTGAGTGACTCAAAAGGAATAAAATACTCTCCTGAAGTTATCACTTAATATTCACATTATTTTCCTGTGTATTTAACTGTTTTTAGCATAAAATTAATAGCTTTTATATTCATCTTTAACTGTTATACAGCACTTTATATGGTAATAAACACTTATTTATGTTTATCAACCTTGGTTGATAGTATTTTAACCTGTATAGAATGTAAGATATTCATTCCAGTTAATTTTGGAATCCTTTCCTATTAGAAAAAAATTTAAGTACTGACAGTAGGGACTTTCCTGGCAGTTCAGTGGTTAAGATTCTGCATTCCAATGCAGGGGACATGGGTTGGATCCCTGGTCTGGGAACTAAGATTCCACATGCTGCGACGTACAGCGTCCCCTAAAAAAAAGTATTAACAGGAAATACAAATGACATGCTGTGATGTAAATCTGATGTTGTTATCTGATTGGGTCCATGGTAACCTACATGATCATGAGAAATTCAGGGATGCCAGAAATGACATCAAAGTAGGCACTGGCTATTAGGCTGAGGCCAAAGCCAGATTGTACATTTGACTAAATATTGGGGCAGAAGCCACCCCTTCATCATTTCCACTTAGGGAATGAAACTGGGGCTGAAAATGAGCTTACTGGATAGGAAGTGTGTTAATGAAACTACCTAGTATTGCTGTGGTAGAAGTATACTTTTGTTCTTGTTGAACAGGGAAATGATTGAAAAAGTAGCGACATGCAGATGGTTGATGTTGAATGAATGTTTAAAGAGTAATGGCCTGTGATGGACATTTCCTCTTTCTTTGAGAAATTGCCGTTTTGAATATTCCTATGTGGATTTGATGCAAGTCATATTTAAACTTTTGGAGTATTTACTCTACATGTAACAGAGAATAGTATAAAGCAGAGATTAGCAAACTTACTGCAAAGGGCCAGATGGTAAAGTATTTTACGCTTTGGGAATAGTTTATGGTCTGTCACAAGTGCTTTCCTCTGCTGCTGTATGGACAAAGCAGTCATAGACAGTATGTAAGTGAATGGGTGTGGCTGTGTCCCAGTAAAACTTTATTTATAGGAGAAGGTGGTAAACCAGATTTGCCTATGGGTTGTAGTTTGCCAACCTTTGGCATAAACTGTATCCTCATGAAAAACTGCTGCATTCTTGAAATAGAAATAGAAAGTAACAATTTTGATAACACACAGTGTCACCTTAAAGTCATTGGGGATTTCAATGGTTGAATTGCCCAGCTTTTCTGTCCTGCCTGTAATGGTCTAAACTGCAGCTTGGGTGATTGTAGGTAGAAAAGTTGACTTATTTATTTCCTCCAGAGGTGGAGACTGAGTTTGGTAGTCAGTTTTTAAATCCCAGTGTCATGGAGGAAAACTTTTCGCAACTTTAAAAAGGCAACTTTATTACAGTACTCCAGTCTCTGGTACCAAATCAGAAAGGAAGACCAAGGGCTTTTTTCATTGAAGAATGTGACTAGCCTTTAGGCTGCATTAGTAAAAATGTATATGTAGAAAACTTTGTGTTTTTATATCCTTGAACTCTTGGAATGTATGTTATTACTATTTTGTAGATTAAGACCAGGATATAGAAGAGTTACTACTGTCGTATATGAAGTAGAGTATAGTAAAATATACCTTGTGTATTTGGAGGTCACATGGTTGGCAATCTCAGCTATCCAGACTGTGTCTTAGCACCTCATGAAAGGCTTTTGACAAGCTAGAAGAAATGTCAAAAGTCGCTCACCAAAGATTATACCTTTTACTCAAGGGGGATTTCTTAGGATATTTGCTCATCTTAGAATTAGTTCATTGAGCATATCACAAAGCAGATCAGAAGTAACAGATTTGAATTATGGCTCAGAGGCTCTTAGAGGGAGGCATAGTGAGAGTAGCAGTGTTTGGTAGCTAGCTGCCTGCTTGACCTTAAGGAGTAGATGAAAAAACGGAAAGAACTCTTTAGAACATTACAATTTGGGGTCTTTATTTAAGGACCTTATTGTATTGTTTGCAGAATAGTATATTGATGTAATCATGCCTCTATCATTAAATATCATTAAAAGCTGACTTTGATTTTACTTAATAAAGTGGATAAGTATATAATATATTTTAGAAAGTTTTTATTTTATAACTTAAAAACTTTAAAAGTGTCTTGTCACCCAAAGAGAGGCATAGATTTTTCAGTTATAGGAAAAAATCACTTAGAGAACAGCTTATTCCCAGATACTTTCAGGAATCAGTGTTCTGATACTCCTTTATGCTTCAGTTTCTTTATTCTTTATTCTTCTCTTTCTTTATTCTTCAATTTCTCTCCCTGGTTATTGTTACCTTTGGGCAGTGATGCTTTTAGAAGTTGGGTACGTCAGTTGACATCCATTTTCCTTTTTCAGTTTTTGGACTTATGTTTTCCTTAGTTAATAAGGGCTTTCCATTCAGTATTCTGATAGAACTCTCTTCACCCAGGAACCCCAGGTAGGTCGAATTTTGCATTACTGTTCTTCACTTCCTTGTTCTCAAATACTAGCATCATCGCTCCACTGGGTACATCCCCTCCCCCACAGAGAGGACAGTGGCAGAGTCACATCTGACACTAGGCCCCTTCTGTGAACCAAACCAACTAGCTGACTTGCCAAGTCTGTTTGCTGTATACAAACAGGTCCATTTTTATATGAGAGCAGCTTCTTCCCAGGCCTTATTTGGGACTCTAGACAAAATGCCAACATTTTCAAGGGATATTTTACTTTTGAAGCATTCAGTTAGTTTAAATTGTCTTTTAAAAGCTCCTTTCCCCATCCCATCTCCAGATTTGTTTAAAAGCAGGAAGCTCTTTATTTCAAATATAAAGCAATACTTCAGGTTTTTTTTTTTAAATTAAGAGAGTGTTTCATTAATCTTTTACATGGATCACAAAAGCTTTTGGTCTGTTCTGATGATGGTATTGCTTGTTTTGTGTGTGTATGTATGTGTGTGTGGACTTAAAACTTTAGATTTTGGGGGCCAAGCCTGCTTAGTGATAGTGAGTTAATATGTAAGACTGATGGCTCTTTTTCTCTTTTTATTATCAGAAACTGGTTGCTCAAATGAAGCAGGATCCGCAGGTAAAATACTACTTTTTTTCATTTAATTTTTAAAATAATTTAAGATAAAGTTACTGTAAAATACTAAAATATAGATGTTACTTAGGTTTTAAAAACTATTTCATCTCTATAGCAGTTTTTTTTTGGGCGCGTTTGCTGTCATGTTTTAAGAATTAAGAAAAATCCAGTCATTCTGTTATAATACAGCTATTATTTCATCTTTGTTACTGTTATTTTGCTTTTAAGTTAATTGCTTTGAATATTTTGGGGAAAAATTGAGAGTTAATATGTATATTAAATACTTAGCTTAAATTTCGTTTCCACAAGCGTGCTTACTTGAAATCAGAGTTTGTGAGGCTTTCTCAAAATTATTGAACATAGCCCAGAACCATTTTTTAGTTTCTTATAGTTTATAGTTTAGAACATTTAAATGCTTAATCTCACTGTTTAGAGTAGAATTTTAGAATAATTTTTAAAAAGCATTAAAAAATTCTTTTTGAAAAGAGCCTTAAGGAAGGTTTTAAAGAACCTTATGTTAATATAGTAATCCCTTTTCTTTAATGTCTCATAGGAGTTTTTGGCTCAGGTATTTTATTCTGTATCCCTGAAGAGAAATATTCCCAAAAACTTACCTTGTCTTTAATTACTGTTAATATATTTATTGTTCAGACAATGTCTCTTTTGCACCAATTAGATAGTGGGCCATAAGTATGGGGTCAAAGTATCAGACATTCTCAAGATTTCTCCCTTGCATTTGTTTACTCATAATCTGTTCACAGAACACCTAGACCCACACACTGTGTTTTTTTTTTATTTTCTTTTTTTATCTTGTTAAACACACCATACATGCCTCATTGTAAAGTTAAGTCAAATAGATTCTTGGATTAAAGAATGGTGCTGAGGCAGATTGATTTTTGCAAGTGGGACATAGTATTCATTTTTTACAAATTTAGCCCCTAGTAGCTTAACTATTTTATTTTTAACACGATCCATTGATTCTGAGCTGGCATTGATGGCCACTTAACTCCTGTTTGACAGTCCAACTTCTTTGAGAAGTTTCTCCATTTTAATTTTTTAAAATACACTATAGTTTAAATTAGGTTTAGGGAACCAAGTAGTAGTAGATCAATGAATAGATTCTTTTATATTTAATATGGTAACCTATGTTACCAGCAACTGAAATATTATTAGAAAACTGTAGCATTTCTGACATAGCTGGCAGTTATATAACAGAGCAATCTTAATGTAGGGAATCTGAGCTGCCAGTAAGTTGCTGGACAGTCGTGTGAGTGATCTCATTAGAGAGACCTTAATATCACACACCGTCACAAAAAAGACTTCATGGAGTAAACATGAAGGAAGAGTGTATGCAGTGACCCTGTCAGAAGATCAAGCAGAGTGAATTGAGAGAAGTGCATGAGAAACAAAAAAGGAAAAGTAGTCTCTCATTGGGGTGGTGTTCAGTCTGCTAGTAAGTAGGCTATCTTGTTACATTAAGCTTTTGAAAACTTTAATTTTGGATTTTTCTCCCACGTGAGTAAAAGGCAAGCATGCTCAGTGTATCTCATTTAAAATAGTATTCTTTTTTGATTCCTAACATTTTAGAACTGAGAAGTTGCCCTGGTAGTCAGTATGTTAATTTGAATGATGTAGTGTTCAGGCAGTTGCAGCACTGACAGCTTTTCAAATCTAGGCTAAAATAACAATGTACTCTACTAAATAAGGGAGAGGGCAAGCAGAGTAAAACTTCTTTTATTGATAATGCTATTAAGCATCCAGTTTGTTCATCCTTATAAATTCCATTTTTTTGCTTTTGTCTGATGAGTGGAACTTTAGGGTTTCTGTCAGCTGTTATTTATGAAGAATAGCTATTTTAGTAGAAAAGAGTACTATTACACTACAGAATGCTAAAATGTAAAATATCTTTTAATTTGAAATAATCACAAAGGAGTTTACCCGTGTCCTTGTGTTAGCAGCCTACACTGGGATCTGTGCACTAGGTGGTGGTAACATGACTACAGTTTAATGCATGGCAGTGCGATGGGCTAAATGCTTTAAGGCTTCTTCATCATTTGTAATGCAGTGTGCATAAAGTCTTCTTGCTACTATCCTGTTAACAAATGAAATATCTTCCTCACAGATATTTTTTCTTTCCAATCAGAATGCTGATTTAAAGAAACAGCTTCATGAACTCCAAGCCAAAATCACAGCTTTGAGTGAGAAACAGGTAGGGGAAAAAGGAGGGGGGACATATTTTTAACATTGTGTTCTAAAGATATGTCTGCTCGAGGCTTCTAGGAGAACTGCTATTTTTCCTCATGTGTGAAAATAAGTGTGGGCAGCCAGACTCAGTTTTAATTTTTTTTGAGCTCTGTTTATCTATTTTTATTTTCAGTTGAAATCAGTCTCTAGAGTATCCCATGAGTATATGTTAGTTGCAAATATCTAACAGCCGTGTGGCAGGCTGCTGTTGACTGTGTTAATTAAACTCCATAGTTTACCCATAGAAGATGGGGGCAAAGAATGTTACAGTGTGTGACAGAGAATCTTAAAGTTGCTGGATGTGCCTTGTTACCTGTATTAAAGGCTTGAGATGACATTTAACTTACCGTGGAGAGAATGGTTTAAGTAGATTGCTGTAAATGTAGGTCTCCCATTCTGATTCTTGTCATTCCTTTATGTTAATCTTTATTAGATACTGACCTACTATTATGTGAAAAAAAACTTTGGTGGAGCCTTGTTAGATATATTCTGTGTAGGACAAAAAAAAAAGAACATCTTGCTTTCTTCCCCAAGTACATCTAGAAAGTGTTCTTTGGAATTTCTTGGATAATGACCTCCACTTCACCAATTTACGCAGCTCCTGCCAGCAGGTGGAGTGTGACAATTGATAGAGCCATAAGTAAATGTCTGTGGTAATCTGACAAAGCATTTGTTTTCTTCTTCCTTCCACACCATTCTCCCTCTGGTTAAAAGGCACAGTTTTGGAGTAGGTGAATGTGTGAACCAAAACGATAAGGTGACTTGCAATTGATAGTTCATGCTTATTGAAGATTTTTAGTTACATAGTTCTCAATAATTGATTTTTGTGTTATGTTTTTTAAACTTTTATTTAGTGAAATAATAGCAGTGAGAGTAATTTATTCCTGGAGATTTCTGATTGCATTTATATTATGTATTGTATTGTGTTTTCATTTAACTAATGGGAGAAATACATTTTGAGAACTGTGTGGAATAAATGTGAGTCATTAATGTTTCAGAATAGAATGTTTTTTTCCAAGCTGAGTGAACAGTTCCTTCCCCCACCTCTTATTCTAATGCTTCTACATTCTTCTGTCTTGTCTTCTTCAGAGACAAGAGGTATTTTAGATTAGGGAGTTGCCAAACTAAAATTTTGAGTATGTAGCATGGTGGAGAACAATTTGTAAGGAAAAATATAAACAGAGTTCATTAGATACATTTGACTCTGAAAGTGATTCAGTTCTCTGAAGTCAAAATGATGTGTGTTAGTGAAATGTTGTAGTTTTAGAATTCTTTTAGTGCTGAGCCTTCTTAAAGTTTCAGGGTTTTTTTTTTTTTTTTGACAAGATGCCAATGAATGAGTCATTTTTGCTGAAAAACTCATGTGTTCTATCAGCGAAAGAAGGTGAGAATTGATTAGTGGAGTAGGGGATGGGGAATGCTGTCACAAAGTGAAGATAACCTAAGGCTACATTTGGGGAAAATGGGATGATTGTAAAAAATTTACATTTATTTGAAATCATTTCGAGAACTGAGGTAAGGATTTGGCTTATTTCTGTGACTTCTTATAATTTTTTTTCTGCTAGAGATCTCCCTTAATAGAACATTGCAACCATTTATGTTTAGTAAGATGTTTCATCAAGTGGCAACCTCTGTCTTCTGAACTAAGTTTTGGTATTAGAAACTAGAATTTTAAAAATGGGTGTAGCATCAGGAAAACCTTGGATTTACAAAGTAAAGAAAACCAGTGTAAGACATTAAAATGCAATCTTGCAGTTTCTAAAATACTTGCTTAACTATTGGAACAACATTTTTGATAGAACAGAAACTCTATCATTTTTTAGGTAGGATAGTACTTGAAGGAAGCACAACTCTGAAGTTCAAAACCTAGTCTTTCCTCAGACTTACGATATTTCATTTAAAATAGTTTTATTTTAGAGCAAACTCTTAATGCTATGTACTCAGCTTTTTGTTTTTCCTTCTCAGAAGATACACTTAGCCTCTGGCAAAACTTACTGATATTCCTTCCACTTTAATAACTGAAATCTGAATTACCTCACTCACATGACTTAATATTTTAATTTAATATTAATTTATTGGTTGTGAAATTTAAAAACAAAAGTTCAAAGAATGTCATATTCCAAAATTAACAGTTATTAACCCTTTGTCATATTTGTTTCCATTCTTTTTCTATATGCATTTTTCCATATTCATTTTTTAAACCCACTTGAAAATTTAATTATAGAAGTAATAAATGCATATGTTCTCTTATTTTGCTTTATTAAAAAAATAAAACATTGCAGATAGTCACTAATTCATACAGTAGGCACTTATTAGTTCTTATTTGTTATTGCTACCTCAATCTTTCGTACTTCTTTTATTTCTTTCTCAAGACCAATTACAAAATAATGCACTCCATTTGGGAAAATATAGTCTTTATTAAGCACTCTTCATGGCTAAAATTCAATGAATTTAAGTGAATTCTTGGTTAGATGGTACCAGTGCTTTCAAATTGTGATTTGAGATTTCTGAATAGAAACTCCCCATGGCAGTTTTGGAGTCATCTTCTTGACCCACAGGACTTTAATTTGTGGTTGACAGTTTAAAGTCAGTTTTAGCCCAGACTTGATTGGCTAAATAAATTTTATGTAATATAGTTAAAATCATGGTTTCAGAAACATTTTTAATGCTACAGGGATGCACTTATGATAAATAGAGAAAAAACACGTGCAACTTCATAGGCATTAACAATCCCATTTGTGTGTATTGTGTGTCTACATGTATATAGGCATGTAAGTGTGTATAAAAAACAGTGTCAGTATAAAATGTGGTTGGGAAGTGATGATTTACAGGTAGTTTATTTTTTCTTTATATTCTTATATATATTTGCTGCATTCTCCACAATAAATGTTTCTTTTTTAAAGTCAGAAATACACAAGAAATATTATTAAAATTTTTTTTAACACTGAAGTCATATTTTCCAAGGATAGTTAGCCTTTAAAAATCTAATGACATTCTCCTTATGGTCTATGAACCACTCTAATCAGAGCATCCAACTGTTTTAAACACTAGAAATACTGAAGTGTGGAAGCAGCTATTAATTTAACGGGATTCGTTTTCATTCTGCACCCCTCCCCTTTCATTTTTGACGTACATATGTGGTCTTTTACTTGTCATAGTGGAGATTCTAATATTGGAGCCAATGCGCTTAGCTGCTTTAGTGCTCTGCCTTCATTCTAATTCATTCATTGTTACAGTAGAAGCAGTCTTGCATCCCAGAGTTTGTTGCGTATTCCTATTGCAGTTGAGGTTTTCATCTTTGAAACTACTTGGCTTGAGGGGTTTGCCACCTCACCTCCTTTCACCTGGTGCTCTCCTGGCCAGGCATCAGATAGGTTGCAGCTTAAAAATTACTTCCTCAGAGGACCGATCTCTGAAACCCTTTCTTCTTGTCAAAACCAACAGTTTCTGTTATAATCTCTCATCAAACCCTTCATTTTTCCTTCATAGCTATGCCACTTAGGATTAGGGTTCAGCTGTGAATGATTGAAAATCCAAAATGAAAATGGCGTAAGCAAGGTAGAATTTTGTCTGTCTCGTGTAAAGGCTCTGTGGGTGTAGTAAGACTGGTGATAGTGGTTCCACCGTGCCAGGGAACCCAAGCTCCTCTTGTTCTGTTGCTCTGCCATTCTCAGCATGAAGCTTCCACATCATAGTCCAAAATAGCCGCTCCATCTGGCAAAAAGGGGGAAAACAAGCCCTTTATTTTTAAGGATGTTTACTGGAAGTTTCATGTCTCACTTCCAGTTAGAGCCCATTGGTCAGAACTTGGTCACATGGCTCCAACTAGGAGCAGGGAAAGCTGGGAAGTATAGTCTATTCCAGATGGCCATGGGCAGATAAAATTCAGGGACTCTGGTACTGAGCAGGAAGAGGGAAATAAATACTGGGGATAATTAGCAGTTTTTGCCACAATAGTTTATCAAAATTTGTAATTACATATATATGGTTATTATTTTTTAATACCTGTTGTCCTCACTAGACTGTTTCAAGAAGTCAGGGAGCATACTTACCTCTTTATTCCAAGTATAGTATTTAGCATAATATTTAGCATAAAATAATATTTAGCACAGAAAGGCATTTATATTTCTTAAGTGAATTATTTTATATACCTGATCTTTTTCTGTACTTGTAGATATTTTTTTAAATGGTGCATGTTGCTTTTTATATTTTCTAAGCTTAAAATACTATGAACATTTTCATACATTTTTGAGTGTTCTTTAAGAATGAAACTTTTAATAGCTTCAAATATTTAATAGTCTGGTTTGATCATAACTATTCACTCTGTTATTTGACGATAGACTGTTTCCAGTTTTTTGTTATTTATAAATGTTGTTATGATAAATACCCTTATAGGTGAATCTGTTCTAATTGCCTCAGGATACATTCTCAGGTGTGAGATTATTCGGTGTATTGGTCAGCTGTTCCCGTAACAGTTCTGCATAGGCAAAGCATGTTGTGTTAAATCACAACACTGAAGTTCACGCTGGGTCTGTCAGTCCTGGTCTACGCTGGCTTGGCCAGGCGCGTCTGCTTCAGCCTGTGGGTTAGCTGGCTTGCCTCAGGCTCTCAGTTGGTTCAGACTTCTCTGAGTCTGTCTGTCCTGAGGCCGGTCATGAGGGGGCAGCAGCTGTCTGGGCATAGCCCTGGCATGGTTTATCGCTGGAGGGCAAGGCACAAGCCAGGCCACCAAAACGCCTTTTAAGCCTCTGCTGGCATCGCCAAACAAATCCTGTGTCATGCCTTGCAAAATCATATGACAAAGGGTGTGAATGCATCATTTTATGACAGAGTATGAAGAGTTGAGAGCGGTAATCCATCTACCACTCTTGGTCAAAGTGTATAAAAAGTTTTTAAAATATTAAGTAACAACAACAGCAACTTATTTCTAAATATTAGCCTCGAGAAAAGGCTATATCAGATTAA